TTACCAACTAAACCCCTACAAATTTTTCACCCTTTTTCTTGAGTCAATTCCAATACATCATTAAATATTTACAACAAACTTTACAAATAAAATTTTAACTACAGAGATACCTTTAAGCCTGTTTTGAAATTTTTGTGTACTTTAAAATTTAATACTCTATTCGTCCTAAACCATTTGTTTAGTTTTGACTTTTCAATAAGCTAGGGTCAATCTTTGATAATTAATTAAATAAAAATTATATATTAATTAAATAAAACAATATTTTGAAAGTATTTTACAAAATACATCTAATAAATAATTTTTGAATCAAATTAATATCAATTTTATTTAATTAATAATCAAATTTTGTTAATTTTACTTGCAGAAGTCAGAATTAGACAAACACACAAAGATGAGAATAAAAGTAAAAGGCAAGCATAGTACTTGTATTATTTCCAAGTCGTCTACATGGAGCAAGAGTGTGTGTGGTGTATCTATTATTGGATGCACATTCAATATGCATGTACATGTATGTGCCTAAGACTTCCATATTCGTCCTTCCAATCCGACATTCTCCGGCCCATGCACAACTCAACCCATCTCATCTCACTTCCCATAGGAAAACTACAATTCCCATTGTCCATCCAAGGACTTACAAAGCACAAAATCCATGAGAGGGTGTGTGCAGGGTCATCTCCAAGGAATTAGGGGCCCTGTCCGACACGGAGAAAATGCATTATTGTGTGATAAAAAAAGTAAAATCTATCAATTAATTTTTTTAATAATATATAACATTGTAGTAATAATAAAATTCCAAACTCATAGTCTTATAAGTTTGTAACTATATACTCCGAACTTTAGTACTTAACCGAAGACTCGTGAAGTTCTTCTATTATCCTTGAGAGAAAATAGGTTGATCACCTCTCCATTATTTATTAGATTTACTGATTTAGGACTGTATTTTTAAAAATAAATCAAGATTTTTTTTATATAAATAAATATATGCATATATGCATACAAAAAATTGGGCCCATTCAAAAATGGGCCCTGGCCAAGTGACCACCTTGCCCCTCCTTTGAGCCGCCTCTAGGTGTGTGGATATTAGATTTAATTTTAAATTCAAGATATATAGAAGCCATGTTTTCAAGTGCGATATCATTATATATCAAAAATAAAAATTGTAAAAACTCACACCCTCTTATGGATTTAAATATTTAAAAGCAAAATATTTAAATTCAAGATATATAGAAGCCATGAACGCCTAAAATGAGTAAACACTAATCATGATGATGAAGTAGGGTTTTTTTAAGTCTTGAGAATATTTTAGGAGGATAAATAAAAGGAAAAATTCACACGAATACTCCAAAAAATACAACTTTTTACGAAATGCTTTCAAATTTGATAATTAACATCTTTGCTCCCAACTTCCTTATATTCTCACGTCGGTACTCAAAAAACATGACATGTATTTTGAATAGTGAAATTTGCACTAAATAGTACTAAAACATATTTTTTCCAATGTACTCCGTAGTACTTAAACTTTTTTATTCCCTAAATAGTACTCCGTACTTGAATAATGTCTAGTAGCGGGAACAATGTCCAGTGATGGTGACATTTAGTTTGAACAATGTCTAGTGGTGTTGGACATTGACTTGAACAATGACCATTGGACATTAGATAGTGGTACTACATCAAGAAATAAAAACATATGATACTACACCAGAAAAGTCACTATGTTTTAGTACTATTTAGGTAAATTTTCCTTTTGAATACTCTTTTTCTATTTTAAATTTATTAAAAACGGGAGTCCTAGCTTGGTCTTTTAATTATTTAAAACACTAAATTTTATTTAACTATATTTTTTTGTATAGGTAATTACTCCATTTACATCATTTACAATTATAAAATTTTATTTTATAAAACTCCGCAGATAATCAAACTCAAACTATTAATTTATCATAAATAGAGTATTACGGAGTAATAAACATTTTGATTTTATGAGGAAAATCAAATGAAAAAGATAAGATTACGAAGGAGATGAAAAATACTTCGGAGTATACGAGAGCAACAAAAATATGAACACAGTGCGTATGAAGAAGACATAGGGCTCCCATATTTAATAAAATTAAAATAAAAAAATACTCAAAATACAAGTTATCTCTTTTAATCCACGTAGGAACTAATCGGGCAAGTGAGGAGTAACGACGTAAAAATATAAGAAAGTTAGGAGCAAAAATGTTAAATTATAAATCAGAGACTCAGAGAGTATTTTAGTAAAAATTTGTAATTTTAGAAGTACTCGAGTAAACTTTTCCTAAATAAAAGGACAAAAGAAGTGAAGTGCCAATAGTTAAACTTGACATTCACATGAGTGATGCTTAAATGGTTCCAAAGTCTATATTTAAAATGTGGATCTTCTCACATTTTTCATGGGCTTTCAAGTGGATATTTTCTTTTTTAAAAAAGCACACTTCTTTTATAGGAGTATTATAAATGCACTAAATCTCATATAATGAGCATGGACGTTGGGTCTACGAACACCCAAGTATTCAAATCCGCTATGCTACTTGCACCCCACTAGTGTACACTATTTTGTAAGCCAGTATTTTGCCAGTGCTTTCAGACTAGCATGGAATATGTGTGCAAAATATTATCAATCACACTAGCATTCTGTGATAGTACATACTAGCATTTGTCAATACAAAACATTGGGGTACAAAATAAGATATTTTTATTGGGATAAGAATAGCATTATGCCATTCAAATGCCTAGCACCAGTATTCGAATGCTAAGAGTATCCGCATTAGAAGGAGAAGCAAAGGGAGGACTACTCCCATTTCTCTCCTCCACATCATCTTTTTGGGTCCCAACACACAACTTTTCTTTTATTCCTCTTCATGTCTTTACATCAAAAGGACTACTAAAATATTATTTATTATTTGACCCATATGATTTTATTATTATTAAATATTTTTAATTTAAAATTGTTTTAGTGTAAAAATTGGCAAAAAATAAAATTTTGCTTCATTAGTTAATAAAAAAAGTAACTAACTTCATTTTAATAAATGAATTTGTCTCAAATTTAGTTTTTATAAAATAATTAACTTCATTTTAATCTTTTACATATATTTCTCAATAAGTCGACTTTGAAAATTTGTATGGTTGAAAATTTATTTAGAAGAGATGTAATTAAAGACGTCCCATATTAATTCCAAAACGGAAAAAATGAAGAAGTGTAGAATTAATTTTTAGACAACCAAAAAAGATAAATTCCAAATTCAATCAAGTAAACAAAAAGAGTTTTAAAATTTTTCTTAAAAATTAATTCAACCTATTCGTTCAAAAAAAAACTAACCCAATACACTTTTATATACTCTGTAATTAAAAAGGAGTCACATGTCATGGAGGGATTGGGCATTTCCTCAATCTTTTTCTTCTTCTCCGTGGTGGAGTAGTCCTCCGTGCTCTTGCAAAATGATCAAGTAGTTTGCGTGGTTCTTGGATATTTGAATACCAATTAAGCTACTTGTATCCTAAATCGCACACCAATAAGTTACGTATATCCTAAATTATACACTAAAGGTATGCACTAATGTCAATGTGATGGTTCACACATGTACAAAATGTTACTGCAAAATTTTTTGATCGCACTAGCATTTATCAAAATATTAGTGCGTACCTTTGGTGTTCACTTTGGAATACATTCTTTGGTGTAACTCTAACATACTCCCTCCGTCCCAGAAAGAATGTCATGGTTACTATTCTAGCCTCTCGATAACTTTTGTTTGTTTACTCGTTTTGGTTGACCATTTGATAAAATAAAATATTCTTGTCGCATCTTGTTTTGTAGAATTTTTCATATACTTTTGAATGGTGTAATTTTTACTTTTTATTACTCTACCAATTTGAAATTAAAGTAATTTTAAAAGAGACGATATTTTACACGTTGTTCGAAGTGTTACAAATAAATTGGGAGGGAGAGAGTAGTTGATTTGAATACTTATTGAAATATTCAAACACTTCAGGTCTGACCAGAAGAATCATTAAGACTGTTTGGCGTGGGATCGCTGCATCCCCACCATCTCTATTTGTCAATTCAACGTCATGCCAATTTTTCTTTTTTATCTTTTTAATTCAGGGGCCATGCTCATCGTTTTTTTAATGCAGAGTACTCCGTATTACTTTTATAACAATTCATTTCATATTTTATACTTAAACTAAAAAGTTTAAATTAAAATTTTTATTAATACTCCCTCCGTCCACAAATAAACTTTACGTTTACTATTCACAGGGTCAAACTTTATTCACTTTGTTGGCCTATTTTCATCACCCATTTGATAAAATAATATAGTCATGTCACCTCTAGTTTTGTAGATCTTTTGATATAGTTTTTTGATATGTAATTTTTCTTTTTTAATTCTACACCATTTTTCATATAAAATGATTTGAAAATAACTTCAGTCAAATATCGTAACGCGTAATGTAAAGTTTAATTTTGAACGAAGGGAGTATTAAAATAAGGAGTAAAATTTATCGTTTTTATTTTATAATATTACTTTTATAACATTTTTTAAACTCAAGGGTGTCGTTGCTCATTCTCCCTTTTTGCTTTCGTTTTTTAATACGGTGAAAAGGAAGCCCACTTCTGAATATTCATGATGAGTTGACGCACGTGCGAGTCACACCGGAGACAGAAGTATTGATTCAATGTGCATCATTAAATTGAGAAAGTATATAGTGACACTACAAGTACATTGTAATCAACTCAAAAGCAGTCAAAAAATCAATACGGAGCATAAGAAAGAATGAAATACCGGTTAGAATTTCTTGTTTTATCCAAGCACGACATATAAGAAAAATTAAAATTATGCAATTTTTAGGAGAAACATGTAAATCAAGCATTCTTATTTTATTTACAATAAATCATACATTCTTTTTAAAAGGTTTTTTAAAAATGAAAATGTATATTGTGACACTCAAATACTCTATATAAAAATATGGATACCATCCTAGTGGAACCGGATCCCTCATAAAATTTATTACCGTAGTAAAAAAGGATAAACCCCGTCTCGAAGACCCCTCAAATTTGGCCGAATAGTACGAGGTATATTCAGAACTAAGGCACATCATTTTGGCATAACCGGAAAGGGAGGGGGGGGGACTGAAATAATCCATATTTTGTATACTACGTATTCCCTATTCTATAATTGATTTTTCTTGTGCAATGTTGTGTTCATATCATATTTTCCAACGCCCAAACCGAATAAGGTCAAATCGTGAAACATAGCTAAGGGTGTGGGTGATGTCTAATGGTCATATTCTCTCGGGTTTAGATTAGCCATAACAGAAAAAGAAGCACTTACATGTGGCAAATGCATTAGAGACGCAAAGTTCCTACCATGAGAAACTGAGTATGGCGTTCTCTGGTTGTAGGCCTCAGATGGAAAGTGGCCATAATTCTGGGGCGGGAGAAACAATAAGGTGCCCCGGTGATAGTGTGTATCAGGTCGGATATCAAATGAGGATTTAGTTTTAGCGAGATGACTAGCATTTGCACGGTTTCGAGGTCTTTGACGAGTTGATGAAGTTGTGGCTTTGGGTCTTCTTCCATGGTGATTCTTCGGTTTTTTGTTGCTTCCATGTTTGTGGTTGTGATCTTCATGCTTTCGCTTTTTTGTGCCTAATTATAATCATTTAGGTAAATAATAAAAATGAGCTATGAAAGAACCACTCCAACCCAAATGCAATGTGTTGTACTCGAACATTTGTCAAATTTGACTTTTTCCAGTCAAAATTGGTTAGCTTTGATCACAAATTAAATAAAAGTGATATTACCTTTTGATACAACAATACTTTTATTAGATTCATTTTATAAAATATTTTCAAAATATTATTTTATCTAATTAATATACAATTTATATTTTATTTAATTATAGATCAAAGATTAAAAATGGTTGACTGCAAAAAATCAAAAGTGGACGTCTAGACGAATACTCAGGGACGGAGATAGTACCTTTTTTATCTGTGAAGGCTTGTTTTCTCTTCATAGATCTCATCTTTCTAGTTTCTCTGACAAGTCTAGCAGCTGCTCCTCGTTGATGCTTCTCTGCAAGCACTCTTAATCTTTCCTTTTCATTTTTCCATCGCTGATAAATGGAGCAGAGAGAAATTATATTTCTACCAGCATTAGCTAACGAGTACATTTTTTTTATCTTTCACTCAATTATTTAAAGAAAATCAACCTTTTCGATCACCAAATTACATTTGCCATGAAATAGAAATTGACCTGTCTGAAGACTTTCAGTTTGTAGAGGTTCCGACCCTTAACAAGCAAAGGGAAAAGTGGAGGCAGCTTCTTAACACCTCGGTTCCACAACACTTCAACCTGATTTATACAAGAGCGCACATTAACTTGACTGATACTTTATATCCAAACAAGCCTTTCACATTATTATTTTATTTGTTTTCAGTTTATATGGATTGCATAAAACAGACTATGCTGTACTCATCCATACAGTAAAAGTATGTTGTTGTTTTGCAGCACCATAACTTTCCTTAACAACTCTTCCAGCAATAGTTCTCTTCCCTGAAACATTGCCACTCCTGGTCATCTTGTCAAAACTGATCAAGATAACTCATTTATTAATAGGAAATACAAAAATAGAGCCTACACAACTGCCCTTGAAAATTTCAAATCTAGTACTTCCTCCTACTTTAAAAAAAAAAAGAGTCCTCTTTAAGTCTTTAGGTTAGGTACAATTTTTTACTTTTAGACAACCCCTATCAAAGAATAAGCTTTTACAGGTTATGGATGGTCACTTATACCCACAAACCTTTTTCCTAGGATTGTTAGGAGTACTTCATTTCCATCATCTCCAATGGAGCCAACGGTTTACAATTTTTTTACTTTGGGGTATTGATGATTATAAAAAAAATGGCTTCTTAAACTGTCAATGCAACTTTCGGCACTCGTCATTGGTCTTTTGGAAAAGCCACTCTATGTTTTAGACAAAGGTATGGCTGCGTACATCCGACAGTTGCATTGACAGTAATGGTGAATATGAAGCTGCCTCCTTTCAGTCCTTTGTCTTAAAATGCAACCTTCATTTTAAAGTCCATTCTAAACTTGAATATTTCCAATCTAGTAATCAAAGTTTTAAACTACATGAGAGAAGAATGGTGAATACTTCTTGTACACTTTTTGTGTGAACAATACAACGTCTCCTTTGCAAACATCGCCTGGATGAAGAATCAAGGAAAAGAAAATTGGTTTGAAAAGACAGCAGAAAGAGCTGAATAAATCGTGTTTTGTTATATATAAAGTTAAAAATTACCAGTACAGTTGATATTGAATGATGATCTCGGATAGAATGTTTCACCCTTCCCGTCTTTAATCCTGATCAACAGAATTGAAAGAACATAGATGGGATATCTGAAATAAATACCAAGGAGTACACCAAAATAATGGTTTATGAATACAAGTCATACGTGAAAAACGGTGGATGCTACCGGCATTTAAGAAGCAAGACATGGAGCTAAGGTGACTGACGGATTTCTCAAAGAGTTGAAATTGATAGGGTTATGGAAAAAAGGAACATGCAAACAGCAGATCAGGGAGCTAACTTGACAATCTATAAAAAAGTTGGTTTATTTATCCAGGCTTGTTCCTTTCTTATCTGTTTCTTTAAGTTCTCTCTGCTGATTAGTCTATTTGCGAATGTACATTTCCATGTCTCTTTAGGTCCTATTTAAAGGGACCATTAGGGGTTGACTATGAAGCGTGGTTTATCATTAGTTAGTCAGTTAGGTTGTTGTTATCTTTACATTGTATCCTCTTCTGCTACTTATTCTTTCCAGTGACATTCTCAGGTCTTGTATATAAGTTTGAGAAGCAGCGTTTGTTCATTGAAACCTCTTCGAAGAGGTGTACTTTCTAAGTCAAGTGTATAAAAGTTGTGTGAGTATTCATCCATCTAAGATGAGTTGTTTCAAAGCCATGTTTCAGCTCAGTCAACAGGGGAAAATAAAGCAATCAAGACTGAATTAAGAGAGAAGTATTTCTAAGCAGCGAAATAATGCTAGCAAATCATTACGAAATTGAAAATGCGAGAGATTGTAAATCGAATGACTAGGAAAGCTTGCCTCCAGTGCTCCATGATCCTCTCTATACACTCATCTTTAGTTCCAGACAATCTTAACCCATTCTTTCTCAAATATGCTTTACACTCCACCAACTTTAAATCCTGCAAATCACCCTTCCCTATACAATAAAGGCAACACAACAATATTACTATTAACTATGAACTGTATGATGATGATGATGATGATGATGCGATGAAGATGTACCGGTCATATTAAAAAATTGGCAAGGGCTAAAGCGCCATACCTAGAAGGAGACGCATAACTCTGCACAAATGGTGATCATTGTCTTCCTCTTTGACTTCTTCGGACTCAGAAGACTCGTCTCTTTCATCATCCGTCTCATTCCATTCACTTTCTTCGTTTTCAGAGTCGCTTTCTCTAGCAAGAGCAAATTACAAACGAGAAGAATTAAAGTTCATGCTCCAATATTCGATGTTCGACTTGTGAAAGCCACATAAGATTAGGTCAATCGGAGATCCCCCTAGATCACCTTGAGGTGGAGGACAAGGTATCTACGGCGTCTCCGTCGAATTCGTATTCCGATCCTGACGTCTCCGATTCATCTGATCCTGAAGACGAAGAAGAAATGAGGATTTGAGCTCGATTTTGGCATCTTTCATCCGCCATCTGGATGCTCGATATCGATCGGCGAATGAATTTGAAGGATGAGAGTTATATTATGATCGTATGAATGCGTTCAGGACTTCAATCGCGCCTTATTGACAACTATGGAGCCGAGCCGTTCCTGCTCTGCCTATCGCGAAATTCCTCTGACGTCTACAGGGACGATCAGGAGTTTGAACATTGAAGACCCCTTTCCAAAACAAGTTCCTCGACTTATTTTTTTACTCATTATTTATAATTAGAAATAACTTTAAATATAATTAGAATCAAATCAAATTTAAATTATTTCAATAATATGAGTACCAATCAGATCAGATGAAGATAACATGATCTTTATCTTCAAATGTAATTAATAGACACTTGTCTCATTCGAACATGTTAAAAAAAGGAGGAAGTGATATTGAACCCATCGGGATACACCAAGACACAAATAGACATACAAAGATACTTACACTATGTTTGGTTCAAAGAATTTGATACTTACACTATGTTTGGTTCAAGGAATTTGAAAGAAAAGAAAATATTTTTTTTTATTTTCCATACCAAAATGGGAGGAATTTGTTTTTCTCCTCTTAGTACATATTAACTTCTCACTTTCTTTTTCTTTCATTTTTCTTTTCATTTCCCTCTTAAATTTTTTGAACCAAACATAGTGTTAATGTCTATATGTGCTCAGACATTATTAACATACCATTTGGATGATGAGAAAAAAGGAAGAAAGAAAATTGGTGGAGAGAAAAGAAGCATTTTCGCTTGTTTGGTTGGATGAGAAAATGAGTAAGAAGAGAAAAAGAAATTGTGAGTGATACTTAAAAAGTTTTCTCACCCACCTTGGTGAGAAAACAAGTACAAAGCTTTTTTCTCCCATTAATTTTCTTTTCTTCCATATTTTTCTCTTTTCTCACCATTTTTTTATTATTTTTCTATCAATCCAAACATTAATTTTTTCACATCATTTTCACACCATTTTCTTTCCTTTATTTTCTTTCTTATCATTTTCTTTTCTCTCATTTTCTCATCTCATACAAACAAAAGGTAAGTGTCTGTGTGTGCTTATTTGTGCATTAGTGTACACTTGACATATCCCAAGTATTATTCCAAAAAAAGGATCAAGACTTATCGTAATTATTCTCATGGATAAAATCACGCACAATATATAGATATATAGACATTAATCATATGTGGACACAGATAATTATTATTTGCATTTGTATAAAATTATATGTGATTGTCATCGTGAAATACCTGTAGTGAATTTTTAACGTTATCATTCATGGGGCGCTCATGATATGTACTTCGGGTCAACATTAGCATGAGAGTGGGGTTGGGCCGTTGGAGTTTGGAGTGGGACTGGGTCTCAGGATTTGTAAGTAGAAAGTAAAATTTAATTATAGGCAAAATAGAGCATCTTAGAGCATTTACAATAGGAGATTTTTTCGCCCCGCACTGACTTCTGTCATTTCAGCATTCCACTAACTTTCCGCCATGTCCCAAAATCTTGTAATGCTATCGCCCTGAAAACCGGCCTCTCCGTTTTTTTTACATCATTCATCATTTTTAATTATAACTTTTTTTAAAAAAATAAAATACATATAATTAAAATAAAAATGTTAAGATTGACATTCTTTATTAAAAATAACATCGATATAAAAGACAGAATACACCAAAATATAATTTAAATTTAAAAAATAATTGAAAAGCATCGAAATAAATACGAAATGAATGAAAATTAATGTTACAATTAAGTATTATTGTGCCTCTAATTTTTTCAATCAAATCATCTTGGATGGTAGCATGGCTTCGTTCATCTTGCATACTTGCACGTTGATTTGTAAAATCTTGTAATTTGGGAGGTGGCCCTTGAGTCGTTGGACCTTGGCGAACTGTCTCCCTAGAAGTAGATGTGGCTCCCTCATTTATAAAACGAGTGATGTTGGCCCCCTTGTCTTCAACTATCATGTTATGCAATATAATACATTTAAACATGATGTCCGAGATGAACGATCGACACCATGGTCGTGCGGGGCCTTTCACTATTGCCCACCGCAATTGGAGAACTCTGAAGGCACAATCCACATCTTTCCGCGTGCAGACTCTTGTTTCTGCGCGAACAATACCCTCTTGGATTTGTTAGAGATGCAATTGTGTTCACAAACACTGACCAACGTGGATAGATCCCATCCGCTAAATAACATCCCATGTTATATTGGTGACCATTTGCGGTGAATTATACGATTGGTGCACGTCCAGCATAGACATCGTTGAATAAAGAGGATTTATTCAACACATTCAGCTTGTTGTTCAATTCGGTGACTCCGAAGCAGGTCTGCGAAATCCTTAGACGATGATCGGCAATAGCCTTGAGCACGATCGTCGTGTGTCCCTTGTAACTGTTTTGTGAATGCACCCCTCCACGCCACAGGACAAGTTTTTACTCCCAATGCATACAGTTCACGCTACCAATCATCCCTGGAAACTCGTGCACTTGTTCGTGCATATTGACTAACATTAGAATGTCTTAGACAGTCGGTTTTCACAAGTACGTCTCTTGAAAGCTTCAATAACACCTCGACAAAAATGTTGCAAGCATTCTCGGCCAGTAGAGTTCTCGATGAGGAGATACTCGTCGAACATGTGAGCACAATAGTCGTACGCGAGCTGCCTAATCGCGATTGTGCACTTCTGTAGAGTGGATAGGCCCTACCGCCCAACACCGTCCGGACACTTTTAGAAATAGACATCACGAGCTGCAAGTGCGTCCGTGATTTGAACGAATAATACACAACACATTTGGAAGCGGTGATTAAATTGTTAATCAGAAAACCGCAAAATGTCAGAGAAATCATCTTAAAACAAACAGCCAACGACCTGCTCACGTTCCCACTGAATGTACACCTGCGTACGGGGAACGGGAGGAGTAGCAGCCGTTGCAACTTGTCGTACGATTTCACGTAGCATCTCTGTTTGGACGTAAGGAAAATACTCATGGTATGCCGCAATTAGCATATCCACGACCTCATCATCTGTTGGAGGGAGAGCTATTATTTTATGATTTGAGAGAAATTAAGAAAATAGTATATTGAGAGAGATGAGAGTGGATGAATTGAAGTAGAAGATAAGTTGAATTTATGGGTTGAAAAAAAAGAAATTGCGCCGCGGCGGACTGCTGCAGTGGGCAGTCGCCACGAAAACGCGCAGGTGTCAAACTTAACCCCAAGCAATTGTGTCAAAAGAGTTATGGTGTTTTTGCTAATCAAAAAACTATAAAAGACATAAAGACATGTTCTCAAAGATTACTTCCTCCGTCTCAAATTAAAATCATGTTTACTATTCATAATGGAAGTAATTATTTATCAAAGTTTAGACTCGTTATATAGAGTTTGAAGTTTTAAAGCGTAATTATTTATCGAATCAAGATCCTTTTGGATATGTATGATATGGAAATTAAGTCTTTTAAAAATAATTGTATACTATTGGACCTTCCAAGGAAAATACATCTATCATGAACCTAAACAACACTAATCATCTCACATAATCAAAGGAATAAAATAAATTAATTAATTTTCACGCTGATAATTTATTGTTTGTGTAAGAGTGTCCATGAATTCTTATATGCGTTTAAGGTGCATATAAGAATTTTTCCTATTAGTATGACTAAAAGTTTTTACAAAATGAGTGAAACTTTCTAGTAGTCAAACCGTTCTAAAAAAGGATAAGTTCCATCTCCAAAGGCTCTCTAAAAATCAAACGGACAGTCGCTTGAGAAGAGATAAATTGAGTTAAAATCACAGACTGCCTAGTAAAGGTGAAGTCTGCACTTGATAATTGCAAAGATCTTATGCTTAACATATTGTCTTTAGCGTAGTTGTTAGAAATCAAACTCAGATTTAACTCTCTTTTGATACTCGCTCAACGAGCTGAGCGACGCCCATCGACATGAACAAACTTTTCCAAGTCCTATAAGAAGGAATGAATCTCTAAGCAATATGTTTGGATCTTTTAAAGTTTTTAGCATGGAATCTAGAGTCTATGTGTGAAAAACAAGAACACATGCATCTTATTGGACTTGTTTTATACACTAAAAAGAATAGAATACATTAAGATTGCTAAAATCTTCAGTTTAGAATCTACAAAAATAAATGCAGAAAAATATGACCAAAAAATCAATAACTATAGGAGTAATATTTTTTGCCAAAAACCAACTTGTTACAATACTTTCTCCATCTCATAAAAAAATTCCACTTTCAGAAAAAAATTGTGGTTCACATAATTTCTCTTTTTGCACCACTTTCAATCACCAAATTTCACTTTTTTTTAAAAATCTCAATGTCGAATCAAACGTGAAATTTTTTTACGAGACTGTGATAATGCATTTCTTAAGCTCCAAAAACTAGTGATTTGCAACCACACAAGGGTGGGCAGAGGACCCATTGAGATTTACACCATTTAGATCATATTGATTGAATCACAACACTTGGTACAACATATCATCAACCCCCTTTTTGCACACAGAAGAGACCACATGGTGAATAAAGTGTGAAACAACTCATTCCATGGGGATATACATATATTACAATGATACAGCAAAGAGTCCACTAACCAGCCAAGAAACACTACCAAACAGTTCAAACAAAGGTCAAACCACGGCGGACCCTTCAATACGCCAAGAATGCTCGAGGGGAAACAATGGCGCTGCATAGCGGCAACAAGAACAGTCTACTTACAATCTGGGCCTCTTTTTTTTTTTTTGTCATAGAGAGTGGGCATTTTTTGACAACTTGTGGGTGTCACACTGTATTATATCTTTAATTATCATGTCAGTGTAAGTCCACAGATGGTGTCATTGAGCCTTTGGGGGCGTGCGACTCGACACCCCACGTAACAATTTCACGAAACCCAGGAAGCTTAGCTTTCCATCAGTGTGCCTGATCCAGTCATGCAAGACAGCATGCAAAGGAACAGAAGGACCAAGACCAAGTTCCTGAAAACAACATAGTTTTTTTCAAATCTTTATTTCCTTGTCTATTTTCATCCCTAGTTTCTTGTTCTAGTATTTTGTTTCAAAGGACCATAGATGTTTAAGGAATTTGAAAGGAAAAGAAAAGAAAACGGTTTCTTTCATTTTCCTCACCGAAATGGGAGGAAGTTG